CAGGTACATGTAATAATCAAGAGCATGGCCGTAGCTGGGGTTTGCAGGGCCCTGGTGCAGGTTGTACCCATGGGCCCTGTTTGAAATAGTGTAAATAGCACAAATAAAAACAACAAAGATACAAATTAAACAATGATTTAAGTTTTTTCAAGTTTTTAGGTGTGCAAGTACAAAAACCGAATAAACAAATGTAAAATAACATTGCATAGTCTTCACTGTATAAATTAAATATAAATTAATTCTTGTTAAATCTAAAAAAGTAAGTCAGCCAAGAGCAGTGAGTGATCTCTCTTTTTTTTTTCTTGGATTAACATCAGCAGCTAGTAAATTAGGCGCCGTCACTTGAAATGATACAAATGATACACATTCAATTTCTTTCTCAACTGTTTACGTTCACTTAAGGCATAACTGACAGTTTTTTGAGGATACTTGCAAAAATGGGTATTTTACATAATTTTGTATGTTTTAAACATTCAAGCACAAGAAGACGCAAAACTCAATTTGGTGTTTGCAGACTGTGAGACGCAGCTCTCTGCATGCACACTGTGTGCACAGAACACAGTGAACGGGTGCTGAATTAAACCTGAATTAAATATTTTGCGTCTTTTTGTGCTTTAATGTTTAAATTGGCGAAGTGTATTTGTTTGTTCAAGCTCAAGACGTGAAAGAGAACTAAATTCGGTGTTTGCGTGCTGTCTGAGACGCGGCTCTCTGTGTGCGCACCAAACACAGCTTGCGAGTACTCAGTTGAGCTCTTTCGCGTCTTCTTGTGCTTGAATGTTTAAACTGGCAAGGCTTAAAAATGTGCAAATGATAAGCTTTTGTCCTGAACGTCTTTCATGCTGGCCTACAACAACAACAACAAATTATTATATTATGTTTTTTTTTATTGTGTGTACAATCATAAATTACAGTTGCATCTGAATTATGCATAATTTACATAAATAATATTATACAAACAGTGTTACACTTTACAACTGTAAAATGCAAAATTTAAATACAGATGGGAGTAGTGAAAACAGTGACAGTTCTACATCAAAATCCCAGACTTCAGGCATTCAAACAGCAGCAACAATGCAATGTCCAGTCCCACTATAGCAGGGGTATCCAAACTCAGTCCTGGAGGGCTGGTGTCCTGCAGAGTTTAGCTGCAGCTCTAATTAAACACACCTGAACCAGCTAATTAAGGTCTTCCTAGGCATACTAGAAACTTCCAGGCAGGTGTGTTGAAGCAAGTTGAAGCTAAACCGAGTTTAGACATCCCTGCACTATAGAAACCCAGGAACCAGATGGTAAAGCTAACAAATGCCTGTCTCCCACCGTCTCCTCCACAGTCTGCAAATGGAACATTTATATCACCAGGAAATACACTGAGTGTTGGTGCGCCACAGTGACAGTCAGCTCTCTGGCTATGCACACTTGAGAACAATCAAAGAGGGAGAGAAAAAGAAAAAGAGAACACCCAACACACACATTCACACAAACAATACCCTACCCACAAATGACACAAGCAAAAAGTCCCCCTTTTTTTACTGGACAAATTCTTTGTGTCTTTGTATATTAAGGAGAAGCATGTTGGTGGACCATCCATCCTGCATCCAAACAGAGGTCAGAGGGTGAGAAGGTTAGGGTAGGAGACGACCTGATCCTGGTTAGCGTGTCGTCAGAGAGATACCTAGTGAGACTTTTTAAATCCTTAGTGATCTAATAATAATAATATCAACCATGATTCTCTGAGCAGCTGACAGCTGGTGTCGGTGATATCTTCTGCAGCATCTGTCATACGCCAGCGGGGACCTGATGGTAAATGCCTCCTTTATGCAGACCTTATGGAACATGAATCCTGTCTGTTCAGGCTGTGAGCTGGCAGAGGGTAAGTGTTCAGCAAATACAGAGAATTCCCAGTCAAACAACAGCAAAATATTCTGAAATATATCTGTATTTTTTAAAGATAATGTAACCTATCTGTCTGTGTTCTGTCTTTATATTTGCTCTTTTTAGGGTACTTAACTGGAGGTCATGTCTTAAGACTGTTTCATGGTCACATGGATGAGTGTCTGGCCATCTCAACAACTGATCAGGGAGAAGAGCAGCGCAAGTAAGACAAGAAATATTTTTTATATATATATATATATTGTAACGTGGGTGAAGAATCACACGGCATGCAACGTTGGGGACTAGGACCATGACTCGGTCTACGTGCTGGAACTCCCGTGGTTGGGCTGCCCGGTTGTAGTGGCGCTGTTGAGCCTGTTGCGCTTTGGTTAAGTGTTTCCGGACTAATGGCATGACCCGGTTGATCCTTTCCCTCATCTGTTTTACGTGCTCGATCACAGAGCGATGGGCTGCCAGCTGTTGCTCCCAGGCCTCCTTCGCCACATCCAGGAGGCCGCGGGGTTGCTGGCCAAAGAGGAGCTCAAAGGGGGTGAAGCCAGTTGAGGCCAGCGGAACTTCATGGATCCCGAAGAGGACATAGGGGAGCATCAGGTCCCAGTCGCATTTGTCTTCCGCGACCACCCGTCTCAACATCTGCTTGAGCGTTTGATTGAAGCATTCGACCAGTTCGTCGGTCTGGGGATGGTAGACGGTGGTCCTCAACTGCTTCACCCACAGCAGCCGGCAGAGGTCAGCCATTAGCTGGGACATAAAGGGGGTACCCTGGTCGGTCAGGATCTCCGCTGGGATGCCAACTCGGCTGGAGAGCAGAAAGAGTTCCTGGGCAATGGCTTTGGCGGTGGCTTTTCGGAGGGGAACTGCCTCGGGGTACCGGGTGGCATAGTCAACAATCACCAGGATGTGTTCATGTCCCCGGGCAGACTTAGGCAACGGCCCCACAAGGTCCATCCCGATGTGCTCGAAGGGCACCTCGATGATGGGCAGCGGTATCAGTGGACTGGGGGGACGTCCTGGGTGACGTCACTTGGCAGGTCGGGCAGGCTTGGCAGAACCGCTTCACTTCGGCCTCCAAGCCCGGCCAGTGGAAGCGGTCACGGATCCGCTGGATGGTGTTCCCGGCCCCGAGATGCTCGGCCAAGGGATGTAAGTAAGCCAGCTCCAATACAGTCTCCGTTTTTGTGCATGGCACCACCAGCAATAATTTTTCCTCCCCCCTTCGCTGCACGACACAGTAGAGCAGGCCATTCTGAACGACGAAATGCGGGAGAGGGTGGGGGTCAGGATGAACCTCCTTGCCTTCGATGACCCGGACCTGGGTCCAGCCATGCTTCAGC